CCAAAAAATTCATATGGAATGGACTAAGGTTCAACGAAAGAGGCCATTCCCAGTAATGAGTCAATAGGGACCTACCAGTAGCAGCCGTGTACAGCAGCCATGTACCGTAGCAGTCTCACAGTAGCAAGCCAGGGAAGCAGAAAGAACCCGTAACCTCAGCCAAAAGGGTTACTAGGTTTAGCAGCCCAAGGACCAAACTAGATCGGGAAGTGACCATTCCAGGAAGGTCAAGGATCAGGGGATGATGAGAGGTGACAGCCAGAGAGCAAAGGGTAGTTACGGCCATCCAATTAAGAAGACCAAAGAAGATACAACTTGTGCAGTAAAGCAAGCGTGAGGTTATCATATTATTGTAGATTGTTTTAAAATTTTTTGTAAATTATTTGTATTAAGGGATTTAAAAAGAATTGAACAAGTAGTTCCATTTTTTTTCTGTCGGGGGAATAATGGTTTTGTATTGTAAAGTAAAGTGTAGAGTATAGTTTTTGTGTACGATGTGACTTATGGGTAAATATTTTAACTTAATTTTACAGTAATTTTGTTTAATAATAATTGATTAATTGATTTACATATAAATGCCAATTTTACATTTTCGTCCCGAATTATATTTTATGCATATCTTTATTACTATTAGTTATAGTGCATTATTCCCTAAATGGAATTTTATTCCTTTTTTCTGAAGACTATTTGTCAAGTTTTATATTTATTGTTAATATACATTTGTTAATGTTTTAATACTTATTATTAATCTCTCCTCCCTTCCCAAACCAGCAAAATACTTCGAGCAATTGAGAAGCCTCGGCGTTTCTATTCCCATAGGACTAAAAGAGTCTAAAACTAGTTGCCAAGAACCGCTCGACATATGCTATTAAGGGATGTTTTTTTTGTATTTTATTATTTTTTTCTTTATTATTTTCTTCTGCCACTGGCGAATGGATGTTCCTTCAGGACTCCAGGACCCTTTGGCTGGTGACAACGCTGCCCTAATCCCTTAATAGTATATTAACAACAATAGCTAAAGACCTATCAGTAGTTACAAATGGTCTTTAGGCTTGCTGGTTGTTATAAACGTTCTCCATGAGCTTAGTCGTTTTTGTTTTAAGTCCGCGAACGTTTTGGTAATAAAAAGAAATGTAAAAAATAAGTGCATCAGGAGGAGCAATAAAGTTTCTTTTTTGAGTAACTGTAGATGTTAGTATTTGCTATTGGAAAGATACAATATTGTTTTTAAACTTTGTAAGCGCTTTTGTATAATAATGACAATCTTTATTCCATGCTGCAAGATCAACTGGTATATTTAAGTTATGTTAAGTTTAAAGCAATTGCAACATTACATATTTTTAGAACGACAGTCCTTTGATGAATGGTTTAGAGAGCACTTTGGACAGGTAGGCTTATTTTTATTGCATTGAGTTGCTAAGTGATGTAGTCCCCAACAATTTAAACATCTACGAGGTCCAATAGCACAGTATACCAGATAGTCAAAATCAAATCCAACAGCCAGTTTGCCTAATTTCACAGCCCTTTGATACATATTAGAATCAACCTGCAAGATAGCTTGAAATAATTTAGCATTATTCTTATGAGGTTTAACATTAACAATTTTACAAGTAGAATTATCACTGAAACATGATTTATTTTGAGTCTTTAAGTAGTCCAATAAGGTCGCATCGTTAAATTTTTCTGCCATGTTCGTCACTTTAATTCTTGGATAAAGAGAAGATATTGTTTTGACATTATATTTATCACCAAGATTATTATTAATGATTTATCGAAATTTGGAAGTCTTATTCTTTATTACAACTTATTACTAATGCACCATTACGTGTTGCTGTTACGTTCGAGGCCTCATTATTAGAATTTATCGGATTGACATTACGTAAAATTTCGGATTTAGTTGTGGAAACTGATTGAGTGATATTGTTTTTGGCTGCAGAATAAACTTGGATTGAGAAGCAACATTGGGATAAGAAGCTATATTTGAAGAATTTGTAGAAAATGATGGCCTTTGGATGGAACTAGTTGCCCTTAAAACTAAATATAATTTTCTACTGGGGCAAAGACTAAGTTTCCCTCACTCCTCTTTTTCTTAAAATATATTAATCTTTGTCTTTCTTGGTCATGGCCTATTTCATTTAAAATTAGGATATCTTCCAGATTCTTACATTTTTAAAATCAAAAGGGTGCAAATGTAATTAATTGATTGTTAGTTAAAATAGTAAACTTTTCATGTCAATTTTTTCTATTTTTGTTCTTTAGGTGTAGTGTTTTTTTTTTGTCCAATGTAAATAGAATTAGTTTTCAGTCAATTTTGTATATAATCTTTGGTTCGATTTCTTTATTTATTTGGCATTAATTAGTTATTTATGTATCAAGGTCGTAAAACAGGCGTTTTAGGTCCATAACTGCTGTTTACGCCTGAAATACATACAAAAATTTATATTAACTAATATACAAAATGTTATGTACCAACTATTGTTTTACTTACTAGTTGTGAATTTAAAAAAAAATTAAAAAAATAATTTTTTCTATGACTATTTAACAATATAAGTATTATACATCCACTTTATATTGATTGATGTTAAGTGGTAACTTATACAGTGAGTTTTTATTATTTCTTTTATTACTCAATTATTTTTAACTATTACTGAATTATTTTCAACACGGAAAATCCGTTGACTAGTAGATATATAACTACTATTGTTCAAAAGCATAATTAATTTTGGAACAAATAAATAAAATATTATAATTGCATAACTCTTTTCTATTACTATTCTATTCTATTCTATTACTATTCTATTTCTATTACTCAGTCGGATGATTACACTATGCCGGGCGATAAAGTAGTTCGCGGGTGTTAAAGTAGTTTGCGGGCCTGAAATTTGTCCGCGGGTGATAAAGGAGAACTTTACGCCCTCTAAACGTGTATAAACTATATTTTTGGTCTATTGTCTAGCTTTTTATTTTATTTGGAAAATTATAATAACTATTCTGATATTCGAACCAGTGACAATAGTTTTTAATGAACACAAATAACCTCGGGTTATTTCATTTATTGAAAATTATCTGATTTTGTATGATTCGACCAAAATATAGACACAAATACTGTAAAAATTAAGTGGGAAAAAACTAATAATAGAGTTTTAACTTACTATTTTAATCTTCTGTTGATTTTTTATTGAAAGGTTTATGATACTTACCTGAAACAAAAAAAAATTGCATTGAAATATTTAAAAAAAATTTAAAAACTGGTTGAAATCGTCCCCATACCTTTTAAAAATTGCACATTTGGATGGAAAAATTGTATTTTCCGAAACATATACAGAATGTCCCGAAATTAGACGATCATATTTTAACAGCGTAATCTACATTCTAAAATAGGAGTAAAAGTTCATATAAATATAGGTCCGAAAACGTTTCTTTTCCGAAATACAGGGTGTTAAAAGTGAAGTCCTGATGACACACTTTTGTAAATATTTTCTAAACGTTTAAAGATAACTAAGTGAAATTTGGTACAAATGTGTGTAAAAATTACACCAACAGAATAAAACAAAAAATTATAAAATGTTACATCTTACAGCAATAATAGCTTTAGTTTTTATTCTCACATGTAATTTTTACAACGACAGGATGTTTTCTTTCTCACGTTGTCCTTAGAGCATTGTCTACATCGCAGGTGGTACATTTTTTGCCTATATCCTTTAGGCACCGGAATTTGTTCTTAATAGTGAGGTTTTCGTATAGTGCCTTGATCAACTGCAACAATTCTTTTTTTTTGACCTCCATGTCTAGAACCAACTTTTAGAAACTGTCTACCATCACTGTCATGTAGAGGTACACCAACATAACTTTTTAGTAGGTAGTTTCTGAAAACCAGCAAAATAATACAGTTCTCTTGATATGTCAACTTTTTCTTGCGATAGAGATAATAAGCATTGATAACTGTTATATCCAATAAATGAAATATTATTTGCTTGTACCAGCGAATAGTTCGTCTGGGGCATGAGTAATACGATATGAGTTTATCAGTACGATTAACACCAGTCATATTATCGTTATATTCGATAATTGATTTTGGTTTGATTTTAGCTATTCCAAAGCTGTTTCTTGTTTCAACTAATGCCGGATGGTATCGAATCGGATATGCTACATATATTTCGTTTATCCTTTCAATTAGATACATAATCATTTCCTTTTCTTCTACAAATGTGCTGTTCTCTTCTAAGTGTCACTGCTGTAACATTTTAATAAGAATTTGTTATATAATGCTACACTGTTGTGATAATTGTCCATAAATACATGATGACCTTCATTCAAATATGGATCCAGTAGGCAAAGGACTAACGAGTGTAATTTTGGAGGACGATGAGCCGTCGTAGATGAAGATGTTTTACCCTGAAATATTTTAACATTCAGCACATAACCGTCAGAGTTACATAGTTCGTAAAACTTTATGTCGTATTAAGTCCTCTTACTTTTCATATATTTTCTTCAGGATAGAAGGCTTTTTGAAAATGTGATACCAAGCAACTGACTAATTGTTCCACTTTATGTAAACGACCTTCATTTCTGTTCCCTATTTTGCAGCTCAAACATCGAAAAATTTGCTCAAACCGTCTTCCACTCATTGTTGCACGAAATATTGGATGGTAAAAAAGTGGATCATAGGAAAACATTTTTCTTACCGACGGAAAATGTACTTATCCTTGCAACATACAAAGCCATAGAAATTTTTTAAGTTCTTTGGTATTCAAAATTTTTCAAGAACTTTTTCTACTGAATCTTCTATGTAGTCTTGTTTCTCTTGTGAGATTCCTTCCATAGCTATTGGTAGACTGTAGTATTAAATTTGGGAGCATCATTTACTAGTATATCAACTTTCACGCCAGTTGAATTTATATCAAAATTAAATTCAGGAATATCTCTCATATTTTCAAGCCAATCTTCTTCGACTTTGTCATCGCTACTTTTAATTTTTTTTTTATCTTCTGAAGATTTACTCGTATTTTCATCCGATATTTCATCTAAATTGTCACTATTATTTTCCTGTGAAACAAATTCATCTGAACTGGCGCCACTTTCAGATATTTCTGTCTCAACTGTCTCGACTTTATTCAAACGCATTTCTTTAGACGATTCCATTATACAATTTTACGCAAATAGTTTCTAATTTCAAAAAAAAACAACTCTATACATTGGCTTTTCAAAACAAACTAGCAATAAAACGTAGAGATCATGTAAAGCATAACGTTTGGCACTTCGCTCGATTAACTGTGAAAGCTGGAAAAAGTGTTGCTTGCCCAACCATATAAATCAGACGAAAGTGAAGAAATGAATGGTATTTCAGAAGAACTGTCCGATGAACATGAAAACGTAAACTCCGACGTTGCTGATGAAGTAGATTATTTACCCATTGACCATAAGAATATTGTGCCTGGTACATTCAAAGTGTTATCTTGATTAAGAACTTCTACCAAGTACAGATACGTTGGCAAGATTGAAGGGCAAGTAGACGAGAATGACTACAATATCTAGGGGTTAAAATCATTAATCATCACAAAAGTACTTGTTCTTAACATCTCGTTTACGTTAAGATTCGAGGACATCATAGCCATTCTAGAACCTTTAGCAGAAACTTCTGGAGGGCGCGGAACAATATATGTATTTTAGAAATCAGTTGATGTTTTTGAAAATTAAATTTTATTTAATTAAGTTTTGTACCTTTTCTGTTATGTTTAAAGATTGTATTATTTTCGTTTGTAACCAAAGAAAGTGCCAAATTTGAGTTTTGTTATTTTTATAGGAAATAAAGTGTTATTTTTCTATCAACTAAAGTTTTACTTTCCATTTTGCGAAGATAGTTTATTAAAATAAAATTCTTATAACAAATGATAAGGGATGATTGATAATTTATGTAAACTTGTGGATTATCAAAGACGTCCCAACGCTGATAAAAAAAATATATTAAGAGGGAGAAAATATGGACTACATTGATAACTCTTAGACCCGAAGCATTTGTTGTAATCTTAGATAAAAGAGACCAGAGATATAATATACACCGGTGTTTAACCTGCGCAAATATTGCCAATTTCTAAAGAAAGGTTAACGGAGTGGGGGAACTGGGCAGAGACCCGAACTCTGTAACAGGGACCGGACTTTGTTTATTAACATTATAATGAACTATTTAAAAGATGTTTAATGGAATTTTGTATTATGAAATAAAATTAACGTGATTTTTTAATATCAAATAGATGCCACGATATTTTATTTAAAGAGAAGACCTTTTATAGAATATTTCGTTACAGTAAAATGTTGAAATAGAATATTGTTAATAGAACAAGAAATGCATTGTCTACGAGTATTATAAAAAAAAGCATGTGCGCAGGCGAATACTGCAAATCAAACCTTGTAAGTTTCTACGGCTATTACATAATATTAAAATTTAGTCAAAATGAGAAAATGCTGTTTTGTATTGTAACCTCAAAAAGTATATTATAGCTTCGTTCTTAAGAAATACTAATTAATATAGAGGATGAGTCACATAAAACTAAATGAATATGTCTGAAACCAGATAACATTTTAAAATTTTAACCTATTAAAAGTCATTTGGTCGCTAGCGGTGGGTGATTATCGGAATACATTATCTATCATTGAAAATATTCGATTATTTTCGATCAATCGATTATTTTCAAACAATCTATTTTTCTGTCGTATTTCCTTTAAAATCGACTACTTGATTATCATTGAAAAATCAAAAATAATCGATTAATTAAAAAGCCAATCAACCAATAAATCAGTGTTTACAAAAAATAGTAAAAGCAATATCGTTTATTTTAAATAATTGATTATTTTCAAATAATATATTTTTTTTCGTCCATTGAAGCAGATTATTCGATAATTTTTGACAAATCGAAAATAATCGATTAATTAAAAAGTCGATTAACTGATAAATGGATTTTCAAAAAAAACAGAATTATCGATTATTTTAAATAATCGATTATTTTCGATCAATCGATTATTATGAAAAATCTATTTTTATTGTATTTCCTTTAAAATCGATCATTTGATTATCTTTGAAATACCGAAATTAATCTATTATTCCAAAATAATCGCCTAATCCAAAATAAGCAATTAATTAAGAAGCCGATTGTACGATAAATCAATTTTCCAAAAAAAAACTGAATGATCGATTATTTTCTAACAATTCTTTTGATTGTCATATTTCCGTTAAAATTGATTATTCGATTATCTTTGAAAAATCGAAAATAATCCATTTTTAAAAAGCTGATTAACCGATAAATCGATAATTCTAAAAATATAACCGAAATATTGCTTACATAAAATAACCGATTATATTCAATCAATCGATTATTTTCATATAATACCTTTGAAAAATCGAAAATAATCGAATAATTTAAAAAAACGATTAAACGATAAATCGATTTTTTTGAATAAATCTACTTTCTTTTTGTATTTCCTTTAAAATCGATTATAAAATTATCTTAAAAAAACAAAAATAATTTATTATAAATAACAGAGAAATCGATTTTCATAAAAAATATCAGAATGATCGAATAATCAATTATTTTTGTAACCCCTATCAGTCGCTTGCTTTTATCCGAGCATTTAGCTCCAAAATTTAGAGATTTGGATTTTTTGTTCCCGTTATCTTTGAAACCGCATTCGATTGGATAATAAATATTGCTAAATTTTGGATTTTTTTAGTAAACGAAAATTTTGTTCAAGTTGTTTAGGGGTTTATAATGTAACTTTATAAACAATAAACTCCCGTAACTTTATATTGTGCGTTTTACTTTGTTTTAAGACTTAAGATTCAAATGTCACTTTCGATTTGACCGCAAATAATATGAACCTTAAAATTTTAAGTAGGTTATCCTGTATGTCATCTTATATTCACTAGTAATACCACTAGAGGTCAAATTATTTCCGGAAATTTTTTCGAGCTCATGAATATTTTGAAAATTTCCCGAGTCGCAGACGAGAGAAATTTTCTAAAAATATTCATGAGCGAGAAAAAATTTCCTGATATTTATTTGACATCGCGTGGTATTCGGTAAGAAAATTCCACGCCGAATTATGGTTGAAAATTAAATATTTTTAAAATTTATTTTTCGTTTCTCAACAATGCAAATTATTTTCTCCAAGTCACCAGTGAAACATAAAAGGTGTTGTCGCCTTGATTGTTGAGTTGTCATGGTAACTAAGTGAGACCCTAACCTCGAATATAATTTCAGTTTTGAAGTTGTCAAGCGGCCCGACGTAAAAAAATGTTTCGCTGCAATTATTTAGGCCTTCAAATTGCTTATTTCTACTCATTGTAGTTGCATGGGAATACCATTTGAAAATAGAAAATAGTATATTCTTTAATTTTACGTAAGTTTTGAATAACTACAAGTGGTAGAAAATTGTTTTTCTGCGTTTTTATTAACATGCGTTATGAGCGCTTTAAAATGGTATGAAATTCATAACCAGCGTCAGCAAGCATCAATCGTAGGAGGCTGTGATCATTGTATTTTGACAGTTCAAAACATTAAATAACTCGCGTTTTGTTGCGATAAAGAATATTGCACAGCAAGTAAAACCAACAAAATTACCTATTTGTTTAAAAATGAATCGATTTGAAAATCATACGCTATGCAAAATATGCGTGAAATTGTCTGATGTAATGATCAATCATTCTACCATGATTTACTTACTCGGATTAATAGAGGATTGTGGCTCCAACTTGAAAAACGAAAATTTGTTCCGAATTGTCCACGAATATTTGCACCTAAACTACGCAAAATTCAAAGTGCTGAATGGGAAAAAGGTGAATAAATTAGTGTCTAAATATAATATATATTTTATTAGACATAGACACATAATTCAAAGCATCCAAAGTCCTGCATTTTCGCCATTAAGAAGAAAAGAAGTGGCCGAAGAATATAGAAAACACCTTAGCATTGTAACTAAAATGTATCAAAACTAAACCTATTATGTGAACAAATAAAAACCAGTCTGTCAAAAATGGTCTGTTATTGTAAACGTCAAAAAATTTCCAGTATAATTCGCTGTTGGGTACCCCACGAGAAAAAAATTTCCACTAAAATACCTCCGTTGCCATGGTGATCTGTCAAAAACACGTATTTTGATTGGTTCAAAATTACAGGTGTGGAATTTTCTTATAAACATACCTTATAAAAATAAAATTTAGCTAGCAACTATGCCTCTTTACTTCTTATTTATCTACCAAAAAGGGCTAAAAACCACCTTCAGTAAACATTCTTATAAAACTATTTTTTAAATACAAAATTTCGTTAGCAACAATGCCTATTTACTTCTTATTTAAATTAAATGTTCAAAATTTTACCCTTTTGTAAATTTATGTAAGTCATATGAAATCTGATTTCTGAAATATGTATTTGATGCTTAATATTTATTAAAACCCCTTAATGCAGATCTGAAGTATTCAGCCCACAGGAGCATGGCGCTTTATGTCAAAACGTTAATTAATATTTACCGCTGAAACCGAATATATTTTTTATCTTTCATAACATTGGTACTTGTATTATAAGTATATACAATTTTTCAAGATACATCGTGGCATTTTGAACTTAAAATTAAATAACTAGAACACATTAAATTGCTAAAATACCAACAAATAAATCAAAAAACAGCTGTCAATGGTGATTGAACTTAAGCGGAGGTGAGCGTTGAATGGAAAAATCGGAGCAATTCGGGTGGCGTCGTGCAAACAATGATTTTTAATTAGTGGGTTACTTTCGGTTAAAGTAGATAACATGCGCAGTGTGCAATATTACATCTTCGGCCTCTTTAATCTAATTGTAATGCAAAAATACAATTCTAATTAAAGTCACCGCAATTTAAATATGACTGACAATAAAGTTATTATTATTTTAGAGCAACAATTATTTTTTTAAACTCTGGATGTGTTCATTAAGCATAGTGCGAATACATTATATTTTTTGACGCAAAACTAAGTCTAGTTTTAGTGTAATTCACGAATTATTTAAAAAAGCTATCAATGTCACCCCATTTGACGGCATTTGAGAATGCGTAGTTTTTTATTATATTGGTGGAAAAACAGTAATAAAGATTCACGATGACATACAAGTTTCTAT